ATTGTATTGATTTATGTACAGTGTGGAAGGAAGAGTGATAGAGAATTAGAAACCTCAAAGACAGAGAAACCTCAATCAGCTGCCTCCTGTACCCGCCAGCCCCCCACTGGGGATGTGCCCACAACCAAGGTACAAGCCCCTGACCGGAATCGAACCTGGGACCCTTCAGTCCGAAGGCCGATGCTCTATCCACTGAGCCAAACCAGTTAGGGCGTTTTCATGACTTTTAAAAAATTATAGTTGACAAGCAATTTGATATTAGCTTCAGGCATACACCATAGTGATTCAACATTTATGCACTTTCCAAAACGATCGTCGCCGTAAGTCTAGTAACCACTTGTCAGCACAGCAGTTATTGGGATATTCCTGACTATCCTCCCTAAGCTACACATGCATCCCCCTGACTTATTTTACAACTGGAAGAAAGGCTTCTTTCCTCTCATACATTTCTCCTCCCCCGCTGCGTCCCAGACAGGCGTGAGGGTTCCGAATGGAACCTCATTCTCTGAGGACCAGTTAGAGCGAGCACGTCTGAGAGGAGACACCTTGTGAGAGTGAGATCCCAACCCCAGTTTCTAGGGGACGAGAAGCAGGGCGCCGTGGGGCTAGGCACGTCCGCATTTCCATCGCAAAGCGTGGCTGTAAGGCTTCGTTAAACATCCCAGACCTCAACCTTGCCTTGATTCCACTATCAAGTTTGACTCCACCGAAGCCACTTCATCCAATGAATTTACGGGAGGCAGGCGAATGGAAAGAAAGTACTTAAGAAATTGTGCTCGGAAAGCAAAACCTGTCCAACCAGGAATAAGCTCCTTCCCAGCAATACTCCAGAGCACCCTTCAAGGGATAAGCTTGCTCCGAGACTTCTTAAGGGCCCTGCTCCCCACGTATTCTGCCGTTCCTAAAGAAATACGTTGTCAACATCGTTCAGACGCGTCCACTCTTACCTTTCTGGGAGTAAATCACCATTCAGCTGTTGAGACACTTGCGGGACTTACGGTTCTCCCCGGAGGAGCACGCCGTCTGCCCTGCTCAGCTTCCCCAGCAGCCTCTCCCTTCCCTCCGTCAAACATTAACCACTGACTGCTTTCTGGATTTCAGGAACCGTCAGATGTCATAAACCGGATTACTACCTTCACTCCAGGAAATTAACTTGCACCGAAAGAAGTTAATTCACAACGAATACATCTCAAGACAGGTGTCTGAATTTTCTGAATGTAGATAATGAATTAGAAGACAAGGGGAAGGTAAAGTATAAAAACTCTCTGTGTACTCCACTATCTCTAGAGTATGAGCTCCACGACATCAAAGACGGCGTTTCCCCCCTATTCTGCACCACCACCCCAACAGGCAACAGGGCTGGCACAGAAAACTCAGTGGGCAAATATTTGAGTAGATCCCATTTCAAACACAAGAGCGCAGGATGCCATGTCTGAGCAATGAGGCCCTTCATCGATAAGCAGTCGCAAGACACATAGGAAATGACTCAGAGAGCAGCACAAAGACACGATCTGGCTGCACCTGTTTCTCAGGTCCTAGGGGCCCTTCAACGTCTGAAAGAAACAGCCAGGAGGCACCTTGGCTAAAAACACAAGCCCAGCCCTTTGTGGGGGGGGGGGGGGGGGGAGGGACCTGTTTCAGGACTGACCGCTGTCTGTCCTGCCAGCTGGACGCAGGCCAGAACAGAGGTTGCTTTCAGCAACGCCTCCCCGTAGACACTGATTGTAATTGATGTTCCTCCTGACATGGATCCGCTCTCCTCCCGCACTAACAGCTTCATGGTGTTAGGTATATTTTAGCACTTTTGTCTGTGGTAATGCTTTAACCATTCCTCCAACATTAGCCCTAGAAAAATCTGTAAGCAATGTTTAATTTATAGGCAATGCTAGTTAGCAAGAAACAAAATTTGGATCATCTCCCAGAGAGAAACCCTATGAAAATTCGGAATTATTCTTAAAATTCAAGTTACATTTCTAATACTTGTATTCTTTAAAACTCAAAGTAAATAGGGTCTACGAATACTAAACTTTTCCAATTTTTATGTGCTTATACACTAGTATGTACTTTGTGTGCTACATATCATGTATTTTGAGAACATTTGGCATGAGTCTATCACACTCAAGCCTCACCAAACAGAAGTAGGTAATAATATTTTCAATAACATTTAATACCTGTCTTGATCTTGTTGACTTAATAATGGCAGAAACTATGTCTTCTATTGGCATTCAGTAAATGATTTTTAGAATTGAACTCCTTTCAGTCATTTAATTCCTTAATTCCAAATAGTCAGAATTACATGCAGGCTCAACCAAGGCTGATGGGAAACCCAACAAGGGAATAATCTTGTGCCTCCTCAAACCAATATTTTGCATCTGTTGTTTCATATTTAGTGGAATGAAGTGAACCCGATTTTGTGCTAGTGAACCCTTTGGGCTGAAGCAGAATTTTCCCTGATTGCTTTCCATGTCCAGGGCCATGTCCATTTTCTGATAAATGTAAGCAAAACAGCTCTCCTTTCTGTGTAGCTTATACTTGGCTCTGGGTTTGTCTGAGTTTCATATTTGTGTTGTTTGGGAGGAATGTGGAGGTAATTTTCCAAACCAGAACTCTTAAAAAGATCACGAAATGAGTTAAGACTTAGGTAACAAAATAAATCACTAGAACCATACGTGACAGGTAGCTATACCTTCTCTAAATCACCGCTACCTAAGAGAAAACCAGCAGCAGTTAACAACACAGACTTGACTGAAGTCCACCACTTTTTTCTATCCCCCGAAAGTTTTCTGAATACAAACAATACATTTTTAGTAGCAGGACTCTCAACCGTGGCTGTACAGAATCATCGGGATTGTGATCGGATTGGTCTTTGGCGAAACCTGACAACAATCGTTTGTAAAGTTCTCCTCACGCCAACACCTGAGGTTGCGAGCCTCCAGGTTAATGGGAACCTTTGCCAGGCACTGTCTGTAGAATCTCATTTAACCTTCACAACAAGCCTGTGAGGTCGTTGTTGTTATTATTACCTTACAAATGAGGAAACTGAGGCACAAAGAAGATAACAATAGATTCTCCAAGGTTTGAATCTAGGTTTTAATTTTTTAAAACAACAAAGCACTTTAACAGCTACCCTCAGCTGAGCTCCAGTAACAGCCTGCTGACTGTGTCTCCCCCACCACCCTCGTTACCCACAAGGAACAGCAATCAGGGTGGCTCAAGTCCCCTAAGCAGATCGATCAGCTCACAGATCCACAGCCAAAATATCGATACCTCCAACCCTAATAACAGTCCCACCAGCTGTCCCTCCTGTCCCCCCTTTTCTGAGAGACTTCCATCGCTGCGACTCTTGCCCCAATTGATCAACCTACCCCGATAGCATTTCCATGATCGGAAAACACCAACCACTTTGTCCCAGGGACAAATCTTCCCTCCAGCTGATATCCTCTTAGATTTCCTCCAGACCTCCTCTCTCATGGAGCGACAGTATCACTCAACTGGCGAATATCCGATTGTTGGAGTAGGCAGCTAGGTAGACATGAGCTGCGAGAGTAGTTACGGCCCGCAGGGGATACGTGGGAGACATGACAAACCAAAAATATCAAAAAATAGCAGAGCCAAATATGAAGAAAGCGGAGAGGAAAAAAAAACACAAAAACCCTTCAGGATGTGGTCTAACTGATAGCACAGCATCTGGATAGGGCAGCCTTGAAGCTTCAGGAGATGCATTTTTCTGAGACATGAGGGAGGGGGGTGACTTGCTCCTTGTCTGGGGGCATTCCAACCCAGGTATATACATCCTCTGAACCCCCAAATAAGTGGGGCACTTGGTTTGATTTCAGCCGGCTGAGTTGCACACTCAGACTATATCAGAGTGTATTCCTTTTCTGCAAATAACTTCTCACCTGCTTTGGCTGCTCTCGGTCGCTTGTTTGAATTCGTTTCTATAAGAAGACAAGAACTGAAGATGCAGAGTACTGTCTACCGCTGACCCAATCTCTCTTTCAGCTGGTCTGGAGGAAGGTCACTCTGCCCAGAGCTAAGGAGGAAGTGGTCGGCTTTAGTGCATCTCAGTTCAGACGAGCCAGGTCTAGCAACCAATATTGTTCAAAGTGTTGCACCTAACGGGAGGTACGCATTGACCCCAGGATAGTTCCTGACTCAGTGGGGATGTACCCCCACCCCATGACGGAACATTTTGTCTATGGCTGGGGTATCCTGTGGTCCCCACTACAACAATACTGAACTGTCGACTTTTTTTTTTAAATATATTTTATTGATTTTTTTACAAAGAGGAAGGGAGAGAGATAGAGAGTCAGAAACATCGATGAGAGAGAAACATCGATCAGCTGCCTCCTGCACATCTCCCACTGGGGTTGTGCCCGCAACCCAGGTACATGCCCCCGACCGGAATCGAACCTGAGAACTTTTAGTCCGCAGGCCGACGCTCTATCCACTGAGCCAAACCGGTTTTGGCTGAACTGTAGACTTTTGTTTTGGAATTTAACATTGGTCTACAGCAGAGATTTTCAACTGGTGTGCTGTGGCACACTGGTATGTCACAGAATTTTTGAAACATTCAATACCTGACTATTTCATCAGGGGTACTGACCTCTTTCCCCTTAGATTGTCAAATAGAAAACTGACAACGGCCAACTCAATAGCCATCCGGTCTGAATGAATCAACATTATAGCTATTTTTTGTCAGATCAGCAAAAAGTATATTTTTTGGTGTGCCGTAGAATTTTAGTAATTAGTTTCTGTGTGCCATGAGATGAAAATGGTTGAAAAGTGCTGGTCTACTGGGACCTTGAACTTTAATTTTCTACCTTTGGAATAAAGAGCTCTTTGGTCCTTTTTTTTTTTTTTTTTTTTTTTTTTTTTGGCCATGAAGCAAAGGAAAGCAGGTGGAATTACCAGGGGGTCTCGGTGTCAGTGGCATATTTCCTGAGCCTGACACAGGCAATGAGAACTCACTTCCCCCATCTTTATTCAGATCACTAATAAATTAGCTGACTGTTCTTCAAGGGAGGGTGTTTAAGACCACAGACTTTGGAGATTGGCAAATTGGGAGCTAAATCCCAATTCTAATGCATTTCTTTGACTTCCAAATGTCTCACTCACCTGGATTTGGAAGTCTTAGACTAGATCTTCAGTATCTCACCCCCAACTCTATCCATGCTCAGAACTGCGTGGCCTAATCAAGGGGTAAAAAACAGGTGGATGAGGGATCTTTTTTAGAGGGGGAATCTTTGAACACCATTGAAAACTGATATCAAGATATTTAAGTATATTGATGGTGGAAAGAGGAGATCCAAATATTTTCCTAAAGAGCCTTTCAACTTTATTCCACCCGCCTTAAGAATATTTTCCCAGCCCTAGCTGGTGTGGCTCAGTCAATAGAGCGTCAGCCTGCGGACTGAAGGGTCCCAGGTTCGATTCCAGTCAAGGGCTGGGGGGCTCAGGAACACACTGGCAGCAGACCCTGGAGCATGCTGCATTATTCCATGTGAGGACATGGGCCCTCCCAGGAAGATATTAGCCTCATATTAAAAATGAGAAACTATTTCTAATCTAAAGGTTCAATCACCACCCAAGATGACTCAACAAGGAAGAGGTGGACCCAGGTCTGTCGGACTCCAGTTCTGAGTAAATCTAATTAGGTGCTCAGAGCTCTGAACACTTATTACTGATATTCCAAACTCCCAGGCCTCCTGGGCCGTGGTGTTTCATTGTACCTTGTCCTTTTTTGAGGGCTGGAGAAATGGACTCCAAGTCCCCCAATCCAAATCCTCCCATCTCATCCAAACGCCATCCCAACCATCCACCTGGGACTTTTCACCCCAGTGACCAGTCCCCTGGGCTTCCCTCGTCCTGTACACCCTTTTTCAACAGAGCCAGTGCCTCGGGGCTCCTGTGGCACCTACCCTTCCCCACCTGGTGGGACTGGGCCCTCCGATCAGGAGCTGGGACCAGCCCTGGAGCTCTCCCGTGATCAAATTCCGCCCCAAGAACTGGTGCTGCTCCCCGAGCAAGCCTCACATGCTCCCGCGTGTTCCTCTGCCTGGACAGGAGGGGGAATCCAAGACAAGGTTTGTTCAAGCCGGAGATCACAGGGATCTCAGGGACTCAGAAGAGCAAAGTCCACAGCTTGTGTTCCTGCCTCTCTGTGCCAATTGCGGATTCGAATCAGCTGTGTCCACTG